TATTTCAATTAATTAAACATATATTAATAATCATATGTATCTATTAATATAAAAAAAATATATAAACAATAAAAATTAAAATATCATTCAATTCGATAATTTCATAAAAAATCCTTAATCATCAAAATAGAAATTCTACATATAATTCTATACATTTTTAGATATTTTATTTTATTATATTTGACATATAAATAATATATTACGTCCTCTTTCTCCGTCGATAAAAATAATTCTTATCCAATATTACAACAATATATCGTCTATTAAAAATATTCTCAAATGTTTTCAATATCAATATCAAATCGAATGAAATTTACAATAATATATCGAATAGGATTCCCTTATTGGGATCCGGATTTTTGGTTCCCGGATTGGTGTTTTCGGTTCCCGCGGTGCTTTTCCTTCCCGCGTTGGTATTTTCGGTTCCCGCGGTGTTTTTGGTTCCCAAGTGGGTGTGTGGTTCCCGCGCGGCGGTGTTTTCGGGGCCCGGCTCGGTTTTTTCAGTCCCCGCGGGTGTTTTCAGTTCCTGTGATGGTGTTTTGGGTTCCCGCCTTGCGTTGAAGAGGGAAAAATACGCGGATGTTTTCGGTTCCCGCGTCCGGTGTTTTCGGTTCCCGCGTTCCGTGCGTTTAGGTCTCCGGTGTTTCTGGTTTTCGCGTCCGGTGTTTTCGGTTCCCGTGTCGGGTGTGTTGTGATCCCGTGTGAAATGGTGGGAGTCTTGTGTTGTCGCGAGACAATGCGAAAGAATTTTTGTAAAGACACGAACAAACACGAACCACCAAAAGCCACAACCACCACCACCACCACCTCGACCACCACGAACAACAGCAACAACGACAACAACAACAACCACAACCACAACCACAACCACGACGACGACGACGACGACGACCAACAACGATCAACAAACAACATGCGAAAATCCACGACAACAACAACAACACCACCACCACCACCACCACCACCACCACCGCCCATTGACAAGCTACGTCACACCGACGGCTATCTGTTGCTGCACAGTGACGAAGCTGGTCAGTGCTGGGATTTAAGTTTCAGTGGCACGTCAGCTGGTGGCACAAAGAAAGGGGAGATCTCACAATGTTCCTGGACGCAGCGCATGGAAATTTTTTGCCCTTTCTGGAGAGCATCTTTCAGTTCACACTAACGACATTTGGACCGAAAGCGCCAGAAGCTACGACCCAGCCCCTGTGCATCACGCCTGAGCAGGAACCACCGGGTACCTTGTGTTTTTGCGGCAGTGGGTTTACGCAAGCTGACATGTTTTTACAGCGAATGGCTTTGACGGTTTTGCGGTGTTCTTTGTCTGTTTAATTGCGTGACACGAGTACGTGCTTTCAAATCCAGCGGTGGGCAATGGTAGCCAGAAATTCAAACGAAAGCTGACAAACAAACACGTGAAAGGGCACACCAACACAGGAGCCGGGCAGGGAACACATTGTCCAGGACTGAAAACACCCAAACCTGGGAACCAAAAACACCAACACAGGAGCTGGGCAAGGAAAACACCAATCCAGGAACTGAAAACACCAAGACCTGGGAACCAGAAACACCACGGGAACCGAAAAAAACAATCTGGGAAAAGGAAACACCACGGGAAGGGAAAACACCAATCTGGGAACTGAAAACACCCAACCCTTATTTAAGATTCGTATTGCCAGCGAACTATTATACGCTTGAACATAATCTATTTGTCTGTTTATTTCAGCATAGATTCCAGACAATCTATTGTATACATTTTTACGATAAGCTCTATATCCAGAGTAGGTCGAAACATATCGAAACAAATGCGAATCAACTATGATAAGAAAAACACAAACAGAAAAACAAATAAACGCAAGTGTAGAATCATCCGGCCAAAAGTAATATCACCCGGCCCAGGCATACAACCTTTCTAACCAGAATGAGAACCCGGTGCAAGTAAACCTATTTGGGAGCAATATTGTTACAGGCATGCAGGGGGATCGAATGGGAGAAACAAACGAATTATAGTATGGTTCGTTCTGCGCGACCCGCGCGCGAGGCTCTAGGACTTCCGCGTGACCTTTGTGAGAGGTCCGCTTGACCAATCCCCTTTCGGAACCCTGGTCTGAATTGAAACTTCAAAAGCTTAAACAACCGTCGCAAGCGAGCAACACGAGCCTTTTTCCATTCGACCATTTAAGCATGATCACAGTGGAAAAAATTGCATTTCATAAGCCAAAGGGTACTGGCTACAGGAAGGAGAAAGTGTCGGTGAGAGCGCTGTGTGCGGATCATGTCCCCAAGCAGCATCTAAAACACCAAGGGCACGCTATCGCAACGAGCACTGTTAAAGATCATTTTCGAAGATATAACACATCTAGAAACATGCGATCCCGCAACTGCACGCTGCAAAAGGGTGACTTTTTTACCAGAGAAAACAACTTAACCCAAGTACATATTTAAGTCGTTATTTAGTTCGATATTTTTTTGGTATTACATAATACAAATAACATTTTTTCCGGGTTGGTATTCACACTGACCACCCCATGTGCGAAGAAACCCTCTGCTGTCGGGGCTTCTAGCCTCAGACATCACGGAATGTCGCACTGCAAATCCAAAAATATGTTGAAGTTTGGGATGTCTTTCTTTCTCTCTGCCCCCTCTCACAAAGCCCTGAATTTCAAGTAATGGTCAATCAGTTCTGTCGGTTGTAGCCCAGCGCCTGACATGCATTGCAAATTGCTAACGCATCTCTTCGATCTGCAGCCGCAACCGGGCCTGTCGGCACGCTACAAAACTCCAAAACGAAACGTCCAGACTCATGGTTAGTGACGAATGTGGTGTTCACTCTCCCGCTGTAAACACAGTCATCCTCCCAACCCTCTCGCGGCACATCCAGGCGATCCATCGGCACACGAGCGTTCGCCGTGGCAGGAACGCGCACACACCACGCAATGGAGGGGGCCTTCTTTGTTTTAACGGGAAAAGCTGCCAAAGATGGCCATAGTATCTTGCCTCCCTCATCCAAATGTGGAAAACCATGGTGACAGACAATAATTGACAATATGTGACATGCGTAGCCAAGGCCGACCAAGGCCAACCAAGGCTGAGTCCCATGCCTCCTCGGGTGTTTCTGGCAGGATTGGTGGCCTGAGCTCGAAAAGTGGCCAATGTTGCCAAAAAAGAACCACGAGACTCGAGCAATGAACATTTTCACGCAAATCGTCGAATAGATCTCTTTTGTTGCAAGGAGCTACTACTACTACTACTACTACTTCTTAGTAACTTAATAACGACTTGGAATTTCCATTTATAGATGTGCAGCCTTGACATCCTCCCCTTGCAAAGGTTTGTTGAGGCTCCTGCTCGTCTTGAATCATTTCCTCCTGGCAACAAATGACCACTTTCCCCCAAGACCCATCGAGTCCACTCCTATCAGCCCCACTCAGCGAGTGTGACTCGCGAGTGTCTCAAAATGTTGAGAGAAGACATTCGCTCGAAGACTGTGTCGATTGAAAAAATCAGAAGAGTAGTTCAGCCAAAAAATAACTCGGATCGCGAATGATATGCCCCCCGTGCCTCCTCCTTCTCTTCGTCACTGTCCTGCAGGGGGATTAAGCAAAGGCAAAGCACCCTCCCCGCTTGGCTGACAAATGGTGCAATATGTTGCAGAATGTAAATAACTCACCAGTAATTAGTGTTGCCTTTTCATCTTTTTCGTTGATCTCGCCTTGATATGTCTCCAATGTCGTCGCAGATCGCTGAAAGAAAAACCACTCGCTTTTGCCATCTCTGAAAGACAGTTGTTTCTCATCTGAAAATCACTGCCACCACTTTTGCCGGTGAAACGGGTGTTTCACCCACAACGGGTGACGACGACACGACACGACACGACACGAACCGCACCGAATTCGATCCTCCGGACCGAAGCGAAACCGAAACGTCCGAACCGCACAACGTGTGCTTCACCCAACGCTGCGGGGGCTTTGGCCTCTTGAAGCTCCTCCAACCATTGTTCCACCGGATCTCGACCTGGCGCGAAGAAGAAGCGAGGTCGAACTCCTTCTTAGCCCATAAGAAGCCTAAGAATTATGAGATTACATGAGTCTATGCCAAAGAAGACTTGGAGAATCAACAGAAACTCTTACCATTGATCATTGTGAAGAAGATTTGGAAGATGGCGACTGATCACCATGATGGTGAAGGTCATTCTGTCACTGAACCTCATGTGCCACATTGTGCCACTGGCTCATTCTGTCAGGACGCTACTATAGGAGCAAAGGGCATCGCTACGAACGGAGCAATCAAGCTACTAGGGGCTCCTGGCCTTACTACTAGGAGCAATGTTCGCTACGAACGGAGCTATTCTGCCCATTCCATCCAACCTCTCGGGCATCGCACCTGGCTGGAAGCGCTTCCGAAGCCACACCGCCCAGGTGACGCACCTCAGCCGATGGCACGGTCGGATCTTCGTCTCGACACCTCATCGTTGCCTCACCATGTTACTAGCTTCTTGTTACTACTAGTAAGGCACTTGTTACTACTAGCAAGGCACTTGTTACTACTAGTAAGGCACTTGTTACTACTAGTAAGGC